GTGTGTGTGGGGAGAGAGAGAGAGAGAGAGAGAGAGAGAGAGAGAGAGAGAGAGAGAGAGAGAGAGAAACATACCCTGAAGAAAGAGCAGACTCAGAAAGAAGCGCACACTCAGGCCCTACCGAGGAAGTGTGAGACACAGATGCTGCCCTGAGGACTGAGGAGAGGAGAATGAGCTTAGGCAAACTGTATCACTAAGATCCTCCCAGAGTCGCGCCCCTTAGGACACTTGCACCTGCTTTATCTGGTGGAGGTGAGCAGTGGCTAGGAGGAGCCAGACCTTTCTGAGCTCCAATACCCCATCAAATGGAGGGGCTTCACCCTTCCTTTTCTAGGTGTCACTAACCAATGAGCAGCTCAAGGGCCATCCGGTCGGAAGATTCATAGGGCCGGTTCAGGAAGAGGACCAAATGGAAAGGCTGCCCACGGCGTACAATCAGGTCATCATACTCAAACTCGTCGGTGTGGTGCTCTCGGCGGTTCTGGTCTGAACGTGAGCTCAGCAAATCCACACCGGTCACCACCAGCATACCCTCTGCAAGGCCACATCTTGGGGTCGGCAAAACCCCTTCAAGGAGCTCAGGCTATCCCCTCAGCTTCCCAGCTCCCTGGATACCAGGGTCAGCCTCAGGTGGTACTGGGGCTCCACTTCCCAGAAGGGGACAGCTGCCTCACCTCGGATGGTGCCATCTCCTGCTGCATTCACACCACTGCCCCGGGACTCTGTTCTTCGGTTCCAAGAGCTGGACCCTCGATTTCTGGAGCCAGGGGCCCTGGAGCCAGAGGGCTCAGGACCCCAGTCATCATCTTCCCTGTTCCGGCAGGAGCAACAGCCACAGCAGCGAGCCCAGAAGGAGCGAGCCCCTCCTCGGCGGGAGCGTCGGTCTCGATCCCGGTCTCGGTCTCGGTCTGGCTCTGGCTCTGGAGAAGGTGTGGTGGGACTCCCCCGCCAGCGGCCCATGTCTGAGCGAGGACCATCCATAATGCCTGTTAGAAGAGGCAGGGGAGGACCCGGGGAGATGGTTAAGTAGAATAAGCGCTTCCCTGACAAGCACAAGGACCTGAGTTCAATTCCTGGTTCCGCAAAAAAAAAAAAAAAAGGAAAAAAAAAAAAAAAAAAAAAAAAAAAAAAAGAGCCAGGGGAGATTGATTACCCGCTCCAATCACCTCAAAACCCTCCATCCAGACTGCAGATTTGGTCCCAGCCAGTTAATGAGAACATAGGACCTTGTCCCACAGATTTCTGTAGACCTAGAGATGCCCTCTCTGAGGGCTTCACTTCTCACCCAGAGAAAGTGCCCCCCCCATAGGCACCCACCCAACCACATCCAAAGAATGTGGAGGTGACTCAAGGACCTCTGAGGAAATGCAGACGACTCCTCAATGATCTCAGCCTTAAGAACCAGCTGCACAGACAGAGCACCGAGTCCCTTATCCTGGTCCCTCCACCTGCAGCTCCTTAGGCTGGAAGGCTACCATGAAGACAGCTTCCAGGACCCATCTGGGAATGGAGATCGTTCTGCAGATCTTTCTGGGGAGGGACTCGAACGTGGTCCAAAGGCGATGCCCGCCCGCTGAGACTCGCACATTGGGCCCCTCACCTGGCAGCAGTGTTGACTATGGCAGCGCTGAGTCCTGGGGGCCCGCTGAGTCCTGGGGCCCGGGGCAGAATAGGTGGGGACTGATGAGACGGGACGGATGGGCTGGACGCCGCCGCCTGAGTGGAAGGTGTGGGGCGGGCCGGGTCAGTGGTTTATGAGGAGAGGGAGGGCGGAGCCGAGCTACTGGGCAGAAGGAGAAGCAGGTTGCTCCATCCCCTGCAGGAAGAGGCCCGGCCTCTGGGGGACCAGCCCCACCTCTTTACCCCTTTCTAGGAACCAAGATGATGCTAGGGAAAGGGGTGGGGCCTGGATCTGTCAGGGCAGAGGTCCGGGTGAAAAGGCAGCTTTGGTGGGACCACAGGTGTGATGGATTTTGTGGCCGGCTCATTCTTATCCGGCATGTAGCCCTTGCTGCCAAGCTCCCCTGTGCCCCAGGACTAACTTAGCCTTGTGAAACTGGCACACAGGCCTGGTCCTAGAACTCATTCTACCGGGGAGGTCCCGGCATCCTGGGCTGCAGACTGGTGACATCAGCAGCCAGGCCTTCAGACTGGCTCCACCAGCCAGCCCCTGACTGTCTGGCTCTACCAGATCTTCACACATCCCTTCCCCCAACATTTCTCCTTCCCCCACATCCCAGGCATCTCTGCTCCAGTGAGCCCTCAGTTTATCTCTAACATTTGGGATCAGGGAATCTCAGGCTATAGGCATATCTCCTCTGAGAGTAGTGCCTGGTCAGCTGGAGCTGAGGATTCTCTTCTCCAACCTGAAATTCATCCTGGGAATCCAGACCAACCGGCTCCAGCCAGGAACCTACCCTAAGGGCTTCCTAACTCCACCCCTGGCTCTGAGAGACATGGGGATGCCACCAAGACAACCTCAAAGCACACAGGAGCCAAGTATTTTCAGAGAGGCTTTCCTTGGGTCTTGCTCTTTGGTCTATTAGCAGGTGCTTCTCTCTCCAACCCTCTGGTGTCCCAGTTGTGCCCAGGCCCCTGAGCAGAAGACAACACTGGGGGAAGCAGAGATGAGGAGAGGCTGAAGTTGTATCAGGCAGGGATGTTCCTTGTGGAGTGGGGACAAAAGTTTCAGGACCTGGTAGGGAGTTCCTTGCACCACCTCTTTTCTTTTCTCTGCCATCCCCAGAACCTGGAGGATCTGTTCCATCTCCAATACACTTAGTACACATGAAATTCCAGCCCAGTATGAGGCAGTTCAGCCAAAGGCCTTTGTTGTGCTGTTTGGGCAACACCTGGGATACAGGAAGGGGCACGGCCCCACGTGGCCAGATGTCCTGTGAGCACACGTGGGCCCAGGCAGATTCCACAGAACCAGGAAAATATCTTTCTCACACACAGGCACTCTCTCGTCTCAATCTTTCTCTTTCCCCACCCAGCCAAATTTGACTCAGTGCCCTAACCCCCAGCCACTCCCTTTTTCTCCTCCTGGAGGCCTGAAGCCTTAGGGCCTTTCAAAGTTAGGACAAGGTGTGCGGTTTGGCAGCAGGTACAGACATCCAGCTCAGGACCTCAGGGAGCTGGGCGCAAGCCTTTGCCAACTGTTTCATGTTAATAAGGAAAGGATCTGGGAGTGCTAGGCCAAGGTGTAGATGACTTCAGCTCTAGCGCCTAAGCACTCAGCAACCTTGGGCGAGTCTTAACAGTGGTTTCTTCATCAGTACACAGGGGCCAAATCATCTCAGCCTGAGTGCATGCAAGGATCAAATGGGATCAAGTATTTCCAGGCTCTTCAACTGCAGGGTGCTGTTCGCCGGGACTGATACTGTTGTTACAAGAGGGTGGAGCAGGGGTACCCTGACCTGCTCTTCCTGGAACACAGGGTGCCTGAGCCTCTCAGTTGTGACTGGGAGCCAGGCGTAGAGAGGGCATCTGAGAAGGGCACAGGGCATGGGAGAAACTCTTATGATCCCTTCTAGCTGGGCAGACTTACAGATACCTCATAACTCAGCCCAAACCCGACTGATTCCAATCCATATCCCAGCCTGGAAATGGCCCAGTCCGCACCCCAGATGCTGTTACTCAACTGGAGCATCAGCCCTGCATCCTGCCCCAAACACGGAGACTCTGGCTCTCTACAATAGGAAGCAGCAGGCTGAAGAGTTTCAGATGAAGGCAGAGTCACATACAAAGTGTCTTCCCTTTCTTTTCCCAAAGCACGCGGAAGTAGTAATGGAGAGTGACGTAGTGATAGTGGTGACAGCAGTGCGGCAGCCTGAGGTGGCCTCTCCATTCTTTATTCAGTCCCAATAAGTTAAAAAGGCAGGGGCAGAGGGCAGAGCCCCTCAGGTGAGGATGCTGCTAACTGAAGGCAACAGCTCGGCCAGGTGCTCTGAGATGCCCCCTTCTTGGCATAGTGGGTTGCCCTGCAAGTCGAGGAGGGCCAGCCGGGGGCAGGAGGAAAGAGACTGGAGTGTTGCAGGCTGCTGAAGGCCTTGGGCTGAGAGTCAAGGAAAGCCCGGAAGGTGTCCCTCCCCACCACACATTTGCTCCTGGGGGCCCTTGACAGCTGGGCCCTGCTGCCAGGAGACTGATGGGCATCTCCCATGATTCCACAGAGCCAGTGAGGCTCTAGGAATGGAACGCAAACACCTGCCCATAGGGGTTGGGAGGAAGCACACGAAGTGGGCCAGGTGTGTGACCACAGAGTAGTGGAGACTACAGCAAGGTGAACACTGAACCTGGAACACAGAGGCACTCATGAGTCAGCAATAACAAGGGCTGAAATACAGGTTGAAGATTTCTCTGACTTCTAATTTTAAAAAAGGAAATCAAGAGTTCTATATTATTTTTTAAAAAATTATGAAATTTATAATACTATGTGGTTCACAGGAACAGCTACAGTTTGCCAGTTTGTGAACTCTTGAGGGAATCACACTAGAGAACTCCAGCAGTTCAAGTTAATGACAGCCCCAGGGAGCGCCAGGCTATCATCTCCCCTTGCTCATGGTGCCAGAGCCCCAGTATCCCTCCCTGCCTCAGGGTAGACCTCCGTCTGTGTCTGTGGTTTGTCATTTTGTGGCAGGCACCTCACACTATGTGCTGTCTGCAGGGCAGCCAGGAAAAAGGATACGGTTGTTGCATAGTGACAACTCCTGCAGCCATGGCAAGTTAGTCACACCGTCCAGAGATTCTATGGAATTATCACTGGCCTGCAGTACCTGGGGAGCAGAGAGTCAGGGAGGCACGAGGCCAAGCAGAAGCTGTCACACTGGGTTGATACAAGCAATGGAACAGCCCAGCATGATCAGCTTACAGTGCATGGAAGGGCTTGAGGGGTCAGGCTGGGTGATAGAGATGGTAAGGGTTGAGAGGTCCTGTACATCTCTGTAGGGTGGGCAGACTTCTGAGGTGGATGAAGGGGAAAAGGATCACCCAGGAGAGCAATGGAGGAATGAATGTTTTACCTGAAGGCAGCGCAGAGCCGCCAGGGCAGGGGGCAGGGCTCGGAGACGATTGTGTGACAGGTCAAGATGGGTAACCAAGAGCAGCTGTTCCAGATGGCAGAGCACTGTCAGATCCTAGCAGTGGGAGAGGAAAGAGACACCTGGTAAGATCTGGAAGAAGGTCTTCATTCTCTGCCCTCTGTGTCCCACATGGAACCCTGGGGAGAAGATGGCAACAGGTGCGAGCTCATAACCTTCAACAGTACAAGCCAGAGGCATGGGACAGATAGGGAGTACTGGGAGGGGGTCAACCAATAGGAGAAGGGAGGAGGCAGCCTGGAGTGGGACAGGACAGAGGATAGTGACGGGTACTCAAGTCCACCAGAGCTAGGAGGGGGCAAAGGCAAGAGTCAGGGAAGTGACTTCCAGGAGAGTGGGCTGCAGTGACGTGGTAAAACTGGTGGGGTGGGAAGACTGCCTGGGAAGGACTAGAAACATAAAAAGTGGAGCCTTGGAAAGCTTATCAGAAATTTCCAGAAAGGACTTGGGCTTTAGATTTTGGGATGCAGGCTCCATGGTAAGACATGTGGGAATGTGGCAGGAGTGGGTGAAGGGATACTCTGAGAAAGATGTCACCAGCCCAGTCCAAGGGGCAGCATGAGGAGACCCTGGTGACTTAGGATTTGAAGCTGGGGGACAAGAAGAATGATGAGTCAAGTGTCAGAAAATAAGGCCTAGAAGAGAACAGGCTGAGGGAAGGTGAGGAATGCAATCTGGGTAGGAAGGTACGTGAGAGGAGGCCAGCAGCAAGGGCCTTAGGGGAGGCATGCACAACAGACCATACCTTGTGAGCCAAATGAAGCACGCGCACCTCTGCGTACTCCATCTTGAGCACGCTGTTCTCCAGCAAGAACTTGCTGCGCAGGTCATCCAGGTAGGCAGCTCGCATGGGGTCCACAGCCTGGGGGATGGGACAGGCAGTTACTTATGTCAGCTGTCTTCCTCTTGCCTCTCTGGCCTCCCCTGGGCTGCTTCCACAGGCCCAACTTGCCTTGAGGGTCTGAAAGTACTGTAACGTCTCCTTCTCATACAGGAGTGGGTCCAGCGCCCGCATCAGGAGGATGATGGTGAGCAAGCACCCTGAGGAAGGGCAGGCAATGGGGCTATCTCTGGGATCGTCCCCTGCTTCTATCTTTGTGAGACCCTTCCTGTTCTCAAGGGGCTGCCTTGTAGAGGGCTAAGAGGGATCGTGGGGAGCAGCCTTTCAGGGACTGGACCTTACATTTATTTTCAGGCTCCAGCTCCTGTAGCTCCTTACAGGATTTGAGCTCAGATTGCAGCACTGTGGACTTTTCCACTGACAGCTCACACCTGGGGGCGAGCAGGTAGGAAGGGGGTGATGCCCATGGCCCTGGGTGTCAGTCGTCCCCAGCATTCAGTTTGAGACCATGTCCCCCAGGCCCAAGCCTCCCATCCTGATGGCCTTATGCCAAGTCCAGAGCCCTTCTGGCGTGTGTGTTTCTCTGTCATTACCTGAACAGTTGTTCATCGGTGGCTGAGTCCCGGCACCAGGCCTCCTGGCGGCCTAAGGGAAAGGGTAGGTAGTAGGAGAGGGGAGTAGGGGCTGCGGTAGGGCTGTGGACTGCAGGTTGCCTCACCTTTTAAAAGCACACACTCCTTCTGGGCATCACCTGCTGTCCAAATGATCCGAAATGTATGCTGGGGCAACTGGTCGTTGAGAGAGCCAGCAGGCAGGTCACAAAGCTAGGCGCACTGGGTCAAGGAAATGCCCTGGCCTCAACACTTTTCTGATTATCCCACCCTGTTCCTGCCCCAGGCCCTCATTTCTGCCTCATGAGTCCTGGGATACCCAGACATAGCTGGGCCTGTTCCTGCCATCTGGGGTTCTCCACTCCACAATCAGGGGCGACTCATCAGCCACGAGCAGCAACGTCTCTGTCCCAGAGCCCACCTGGCACAAGAAACAAAGACAAACCCATCAGTTATTACAGCTGCAGGTCCATAATTCCATGATGCTCCTTAGTGAAAGCCACGAGACTCACCAGGAGGGGCCGAGAGAAGGAGACAGTCAGACAGGCCTCATCCCGGCTCACATGTAGGCAGCGCACCGCATCTTGGGGCTCAGCTGTAGGAAGACAAGTGTCTCCTTAAATCTTATTCCACTCCAACTCCCAAACACCCAGCCTCTTCCCCCATCGCTTACCTCGGCCCAGGAGCCAACGGTGATAGAACCAGGCACTCTGATCATTGGGGTCAGTGAAGAAGGCATTCTGTACCAACTCCAGCTCTGCAGAGGCCAGGAGGCAATGGTTTTGGTCAGCATGCTGGTGGCCACCCAAATGATCCAACCCATTCTCAAGTACCTTCAGCCCTTATTCTCTCATCTATTCTGGCTTTGCACAGGGGCTGCACACAGCAGTTTTATACTCTCCATCAGACACCTGAGGTGCTTGCAAATAGGAGCTGAGCCTTACGCATCCCCAAAGGCAGGCATGAAGTGTTCAATAAACCCAAGTGATAGGTTCAGGGAAAGGGCCAGGTAGGGCTGGAAAGGCAGCACAGCAGAATCCTCTCCCAGACCCTCAGGCCTTGCTTACCTTTGAGCAGTACATCTTCAGGGAGGCGCCCTTGTGGGCCAGAGTCTGGCTGGGGGTGCAGCTGGGGCAAGAGGCAGGAGCGGTAATGCCAGGAAGAATAGTTGGAAAAGTTTCGGGTGATGAGACTGTCAGTGAAGGCTAGCTCCTCTGCAGGGGGCACAGTTGCCTGTGCAGCCACAAACCGCCGATAGTCCCAGCAATGAACTGAGGAAGGGGTGACAGTACATCTCAGGGACAGGGAAAAAAATGAGCTACCTCACTGGTATCCTCTTGCCCCGAGATCTTCTATAAACACTTTGATGCATTTGATTCTGTCACCCTTTTCAGCACCAGCACAAGCTGGCCCACACAGGACATCTCTCCTGACACTGGGCCTTCCCGAGGCTCCAGAACCAGCTATGGGGCACATAAGGGCTATGGGCATAGAATCTTGGACACGCACAATTCCGTTCATCCACCTCCAGGAAGCGGGCACACAGCTCCAGCTCTCTGGCCCAATTGGGCTCAGGCAGGCGGCCCAGCAGCCAGCAGCGGTGGTGCCAGGTTCCATAGGACTTAGGGTTCACACGCAGGCAGCTCTCGAGGAAGACCAGTTCCGCCTTCACCAGAGAAGCCAACTCCTCCGGAGTCCTGCACCCAGAAGGAGGGGGGTTCAGGGCTTCCAACACCCACCTCAGCGCACCCATCCTTCTGTACCCACTCCCCTACCACTTTCTTTCTGCCCCTGCTTGTCCATTCCTCCTCCAACGATGGAGCCAGGCATAGCAGGGGCAAGGCAAGGGTGCTCCTCCTGAGGCCCTGAACCCCTACGCACTTCTCGGCCTCCAGTTGCTGGAGCACCTCTCGCCGGCAGTTCCAGAGGGTGGCAAAATCAGGGTTGGCTCCCAAAATCTGGCTTGTTAGTTCCAGTACTGATTCATCCAGCTCACCAGCTTGGCGCTGAGAAGACAGGATTCAGGGTCACACTGCAAAAATCCTCCGCTGTGAATTCCACAATGTACAATAGACACTACAAAAAAACACTATGACTTTACAGGTATTCTCTCATTTACTCTCCACAATACCCTTTTGCAGTAGACATAATTATTCATTCCTCTTTACAGATAAACTGAGGCCCAAAGTGATTCAGCAACTTGGTCAAGGTCACACAGCTAGAAAATGACTGAACCCATATTTGGATCTAGGCAGTTTAACTGTAAGGACCCAACTCCTGACTCTGGGCTACATTAAGGGAACCACTTGGGATGTGACTACGACTCTGCGGGCCCCCACCTTCTGGAAGACAGCTTGGGTGGCTGACTGGTAGAGCTTCAGCTTCTGCTCCCGCTCTAACCTTTTAGCTTCTGCCTGCTCTTCTGAGGTCTTCACTTTCAGGCGCCCGTGCTACAGGGATGGGCGGATGGGAAGAATGAATGTAGGCAGGTTGCTTTGTAGAGGCAGACCTATAGAACCCCTGCCCGCGCGCGCGCACACACACACACACATACGCATGCACACGCACTGTGGGGACCCAGGTTCACGCTGGGCAAGGGAGGTATAGTCTCAAGATAGAACGAGGGCGTGGGAAAGCGGAAGTGAGGGGCTTGGCTCCGGGTTCTCACCATGGTGCTGGCTCAGCGTTCAGGACAGGGGAGGGGTCCGGCGCTATCCCTTCAAGTCGGGAGAGAGGTGTCAATCACGAGGCTCTACCCCACTAGCTCCGCCCCCAGGTGTCCCCGGAAGCCGTACGCGGATCTGAGCTGAGACCCCCGGGATGTAACCCGTCCCGAGCCACAGGCGTCGCATGTCCATGAGAGGGCGCTCACCAAGACTGGGGCCTCCACCCACACAGCCCTTCCCATAGCCCAGTGTGCCAGGGCCACAATCCCAATTGGGGCACGTGGGAGACAGAGACCGCTCCGCGCTCGGAAGGCTGCCGCAGCCGGCTAGCCCCACTGCGGCCGAGAACCCCCCCTCCCCGCCCGCCCCGCGGGCGGACCCACCTGCGCCGGGAGGAGGTACGCGCGACGCCGAGCAGCGGCACTCGCCGCCAAGCCTGACTGCTGGCTAGAGCGGTTCCCTGCCTCAGCTCACTGAGATGCAGCGCCCTCTGCAGGCCGGGGGACTAGGCCGACTGGGGAGGCGCGTGCGCCCGAAAAAGCCGAGTTCCTGGTAGTTGGGTATGTGCTACTGCGCACGCGCAACTTTTGCGGCGCCGAGAAATGAGCGGGGCAGCTCTTCCAGTCAAGCTTCTGTAACTGCTGTCCAGTTGAAGTGGTTTCTGCAACACCGGAAACCTTTACCCTCACTATTACCCTGACCTTACTGTGGCCACACTGGCCACCTCCCAATTGTCGGATCTAACAGATGGCATTTCCTGTCCTTACACTCTCTGTTCTGGACAGCTTTGAGGATAGTGATTTACTTCCTTGTCCCTAAATGTTAGCAACCTCAGGGCCCATTGCTTAACGTTTTCACTGGACACACTGTTTCTGGGAGAACGTGAACATTTCTGAGTCAGTTCAAGTTGGGCTGAAGTAGGAAGTAGAGATTCTCAACATTTGTTTTTGGCACTAGGGATCAGTTTTGTGGAAGGCACTGTTTTCACGGACTGGGATAAGGGAATGGTTTCAAGGTGCTTCAAACTCATTATGTTTATTGCACGTTTTATTTCTATTATTCCATTGTAATATATAATAATTATACAACTCTCCATAATGCAGACTCAGTGGGAACTAGGAGCTCCTCTTTCATGACACTAGACAGACCTGGGGTGGTGGGAGACAGTTACATCTGATGAGCGTTGCTTACAGCCAGTCTACTCCATAATCTCATTTTGGTTGTTATCACCGCACAAAATCCTGCTTCACAATGATAGGATATTGGAAATGGAAGCAGGCTTTTGAGTGTTTTGTGGTAAAATCTCAGTATATTCTGCCTTGGCTTTAATCCAGAATACATGGAGATTTGAAATTGTCTCAAACATACTTTTAAGGCCACTGTCGTTTCCAATTTCTAGTTGATCTTCTAGAATGGACAAAGTTGATTCACCTAGCTTATTGCACAAATAGCTTGATAATTTTAATGTCATCAAGAAAAAGTTTTTTTTTAATTTATGTGTGTGTGTGTGTGTGTGTGTGTGTGTGTGTGTGGCCAGCTCAGCCCACCAGGGGTGGGCTGGCATGTGGTGCTGGGTGATTGAACTGCGGTCCCTGTGCTTTGCTAAGCTTGTTCTAAGTAGGTGCTTTAGACCACTGAGCCATCTCAACAGCCCAAGAAAAAGTTTTCAATTCAGATGATTTTTTTGTTTTGGCTAGCCAGGATTTCTCTGTGGATGAAATAGTGTTTAGACTCACATTCAGAAGAGCTTTTGGCTTCAGAAGCAAAATCAGGAAGCTGTCCAATCATGGCAGCTTCTCTGTCCATCTGCACATCAACACAAAGTAGCCAATTCAATTTTACTGATAGGCAATCGTTCAAATACTTGAATAGTTCTTCTGTGGCATTGGTTGCCAACAAAAATGTATATAATATAGCTTCATGAACATCCTCCTGAAAAAATAAATCGTACAAAGACAAGCATTGTTACCTTGTTATCAATATCAGTAGCTGTAGACTTGTCAACCTGGATTGTATTCCACAGTGATTCATTAATCTGCTAAGAAATATGTCTCAATATTCTCTGCTGTTTCATCAATAAGTCTAGTTATGGTGCTAACCAAAAGAGGAACATGTACCACCTTTTGAACTGCAGTCTCTCCTAAAAGAACACCACAAATGAGTGTAGCAACAGGCAGGATCAACTCTTTACTAACAGGATAGCACTGCTGGCTTTAGCAATGTAGTTAGCCACTAAAAATTACACCTTTTGTTGTGGTTTGAGGTTTTGCCAGATGAATAATACAAGGCAGGACACATTTTATAAGATTATTTTATAATGAATCACCCAAAAAATCACATACAAAAGTGTAGGAAACCTGTCCACATGCTAAAGACTGAAGAATCCAGCTGAAGGCCTGGGTCCCACAGTAGTGTCCTGCCTGAGTCCAGCTGAAGACCTAGAGCTCATAATGCCTCCCACAAGTCCAATTGGAAGCATAGAGTCCACAACAATGTCTCGTGTAGGCCTGCTTCATGATCTGCACTGGAAAGGCCCAAAAGTCAATGGTGGAAGTTAGAAAGTCTATGCCAGCATGATAAAAAATCTGCATTAGCAGGCTGAGGGATCTGAAGTGTGACCTTCGGGTTCAGTAACCTGTTCCCTCTTCTTGGCACTCCAGACTTCTCCTTTGTGAAGGTGACGCCTGCTCACCTTTCTACCCCACTTTGGTACTGTGGATTGAACCCACTGCTTTGATTGTGCAAGGCCACACAGTACAATTGCTGCAGTGGGCCACCATTCCCAGCCCTCTGCTTCTCTTTAACACAGGTGTCACCTCCGGGAAGTTGCCCACGCCACCCCAGTCTAGTGTGGTAGGCTTTCATATGTGCTGCAAAGATGGCACTCCTTTCTCTGTGCCTCGGAAAGTCCCGGTCAGTGTGCTCGCTTCCAGTCAGATGAAAGCTCTCGAATCACAGGAACCATGTATTTTTGGCTTTGCCTCTCTGATAACTGGCCTCAGTCATTAGTAGTTTTCCTTGGTACTCATTTGAGTGAATGAACAAAATATCACATAGTGAGGGCTGTCTTGGCTTGCCTAGCAGCGAGTATGGTGAGCAGCCAGGGATTAAGGGGATATCCATGTGGGGAGGGCCAGTTTGGAAGGGTTGTCTGCTGCTGGAGCTTTCATTTAGTGTGTATGGTAGGGAGAGGGGGTTTTACAACTAATTAATTTGAAATAGAGCCTTGGTATGTAGCCTAGGTTGGCCACAAACTCCTGGGCTCAAGTGATAGTCCTGCTTCAGCCTCCTAGGTAGCTGGGGCTATAAGTATACTTATAGGTATATTTTCACTTGGCTGTATGATGTTATTGTGAAGTGTGTGTATATTTAAAACTCACATATGAGGAAGAAAGTATGACTTTAAATCTTTATGTTTCTTCCATGTTTCAGGCTCTGGAAATATATTCTCTATATACCCCATCCTTTCTTAGGTCCTATAAGAAGCGACAAAGGAAGAGTCAACTTTCCTGGCCATGTGTACTTGCATTTGCAGGGAGGGAAGAATTACTCACCTACTGGCTATCGTTGTGCCAGGCACTGCGATGAAAGCATTGCATGGATGCGGTGTGTGGGCCCACACAGGACCATGCTGGGAGGGAGCAGTGGTGGGATTAAGAACTCTGGAGCTGCCTGCCTGGTGAAAATCCTGGTCTGGCCTTTCTTGCTTTGTGACTTGGGGGCTAGTTGCTAAACTTGTGTGGAGACATCTCTGTGTTTCAGCTTATTCAATAGTAACATAGGAAAGGGCTGGCCAGATAGCTCAGCAGACTAAAGTGCCTGCTTAGGCAGAGCACAGCGGCTGGGATTCAATCCCTGGTGTGCCATGCCATCCCCCCAGGGTGCGCCGAGACTGAGTGTGGTGGTGTGTGCCTGTAATCCCAGTGCTTGGGAGGCTGAAAACAGGAGAATCACTATGAGTCTGATCTGTGTAGTGAGACCCTGTATTGAGACCCTGTACTACATACATTAAAAAAAATCATTTTAAAAAATGATTATATAAACAGTAACATAGGAAAAACACTGCCTATCTGATTGAGTTGAAGTTAAGATTGCATAAATATTTTCTATACATTGTTTAAAATAACTGCACCTAGTAAGGGCTCGGTAAATAGTAGCAGTAGCAGTAATAATAAACACCACCATCATCTGCATCTTGTACAACAAATAACCACTAGGAAGACAGTATGCAATGTGTTAATTATTGAAACTGTCCTACCAATTTGATTTGAAACTGTCTCATTGCGATTTGTTTCTCAATAAAATTATGAAAAAGAGTAGACAAGACACTGCAGACGTGAAAAAAAATTATGAAAAAAACATCATCATCATTTTTAATCTTTATGAAATAAAGATTCAATATTCAAGAATAACCAATATAAAGAAAAACTAAATTGGAGGCTGAGGCAGGAGCAAGTTTGAGCATAGCCTGGGCATTTTAGTAACTTAGCAAGTCATCTCAAAATAAAAAAAACAAAGGACTGAGGAGAGATTAAGCAATTGGTTGAGAGCCACCCACTTAGTGGCCAAACATGACCCATTCCTGGTCGTATCTAGTCCTCCCACCTCGCCACCTGCTCATCCTTCCTGGCTACCACCTGTTCTCACTTCCTGCCCCGCACGTGCTCACGCGTGCACACAAGTGCAGCTTTCCAGGTCCAGTGTTACCTCACAGCCACGGAAGGAGAAGGAAGGGGCGGGGGGAGCGAAAACTGAGGTAAGCATGACATATTTTTTAGTGATTAGCAATCTTGAAACTGGGAAGGTTGAGTCAGGCAGGCTTAAGAAAGGAAATGAGTCTCATGAAAAAATATCTGCATTTGAGAAGGTAGGGGCTGGGTTCTGGAAAGAGGGGGTGTAGGGAAGGGCGTTTCTGGCATGTAGCATGACGCGATGGTGGGAGAGCAAAAACCAAACAGATTTAGCTGGTGGCTCAGAGGAGCTGAGCCAGGTGCTTCTGGAGATAAGAGCAGTGGGATTGATGACAAGCGTCTTGCTTAAAGGCAAGAGGCGGTCGGGAGTTATATTTGGCCTCCTCTGTGAGATAAATAGAAACTATAGGAGTCAGAGTTCACAGTCTAGATGATATTTAAGAAATAGCTTCTGACTGATGAAAGGAACAGGACAGCTCAGTTAAGGCACTCACTGTGCAGGTGAAGTAGGTGATACTATTTATGTCTTAAAACTTGGAAACAGTGCATGTGGTGAGCTTACAAAAGTTAAGTGGCTTGCCCAAAGTCACGGAGCTGGGAAGAAACCACCAGAATTCAAACTAAAGCCTGGTATCTGTTTCATGGATGGAAGTGGCCATTGCCATAGGC